CGTCAGCCATATTCGCAACGAGTATGGGCCAACAGGGGGGGCGGACCTCGCGGTAGCGTGAAACTGGTGAGAGGCAACTGCGATCCGTCATCAGGGGATCACATCACGCGGTCGCCGTCCGATACGTAGCGCAGCGTCATGGGGAGGAGGCCGAAATTGAAGATGAGCCAGCCCCACGCTGCGGATATGAAACGAGATGCTCACGATGGCATTCTCACCTGCTATATTTTGCGTCTACCGCGTTCTGCAGTATCTCCTCCATTGCGCCTGGTGGCGCCGCGCCCAGAGCCCTGCGCCCGCCGATCTCCTCTAGTGCCTTCTGCAACAGGCCGCGGACCATCAAGGGCGAAGGCAGCGACTGCTCGTCTGATTCGGGCGGTGCGCTCGGCTGCGAGACGTCCCTCATCATCAGGTGGAGCTTCCTCTTGTTCTGATCGTAGCACTTCGTGACCCGAAACAGGCGCACCATGTCGTGCAGGTCGTGAGGCTGCAGCTCGCACCACACTCTGCCGTGCCAATCTTTGAGCATCGCGTGAGTCCTCTGCCCCAGCGCGAGCCCACGCTCGAGCAACTTGGTCACGAACCCATTGAAGATATGTAGGTGAGGAGGACCGAGCTGGTGGCCTTTGCCTCGGGCTCGGACTTCGTGTGAATACGTCGCCCCTGCCTCCTGTGCGGCCTCGATCTCTGGTAGGTCGGCGGTCAGGAACTACGTGTCCACTCCCGCTGCCCATAGCTCGCGCACCATCTGGGTCGTCATGAGCGTCTGCTTCACCAGCACGTTGATGAAGTTGGCCTGCTTCTGAGTGAAGCCCATGTCCTTGATCTGCCCGAGGTGCCGATTGCGCTGCTGCTTGCTGTTGGGCCCGTTGGCCGCGGCCGCGTCGGAGGCGGAGCCTGGGTTGGGGTTGGAGCTCTTGCCGCCCTTGTCCTTCTGTGGAGGGCCGCCCTTGGCCTCGGCCTGCACGGGGGCGCCCTCTGCCTCTGCGGCGCCAGGCGGCCGCTTCTCCAGCATCCACTTGGGCTTGGGGTTCGCCATCGCCAGCCCGTCGCCCAGGTAAGAAAGGCAGGTGCCGCTCGCAAATGTGATCCTGGAGCTGGGCCAAATCGAAATTCGAAGACGTGGCGCACACTGGGCAGACCAGCCTGGGGACGACCGCGGGACGCAGTGCATGCGCGCTGTGAATATCACAAACTCCCCGACAAAAGGCCCGACAGAGATGAGCTTTCGCGGTCTTCTGGAAAGCAAAGGAAGTACGACACGCTGGACACTGGTTCGTGACGACACATCTGGCATAGTAGGAGAAGTTGCCATGAGAGCCGCCCTGGGTGTGGGTCTGGTGCGCGACGAGAGCAGCATGGGTGAAGAAGCGGGCGCCACAAACGTCTCCATCTTCTGTGGTGCATCTGCAAACGTGCACGCAGCCAGAGGGGCCCAAGAAGTCCTCAATCCCATCCTGTGAAGCGGAGAGGCAGGGTCCGAAGTCGATAGTGTCCAGCTCAGTCTTACCGCTCTGCCAGATCTTGCGCAAAGCAGAAACATCAGCCGCCAGAAACTGATGTGATATGTAGTCGTCATGGAAGAGCGCATGGATGTCCTCGCCCCAGACGGAGCGCCAGTCTTCATAATCAGTTAGAAGCTCGAGCCTGTAAGCGTCAGTCACGAAACGAACGGCGAACGGGTTGGCGTGAACGGTGAGGCGGCCCTCGGACAAGGTGGGGGCATTCTCGAAGCCGAGGCGACCGAAGAGGAGGCCGATGACCTGGGAATGTTCTTCGGGCCACTTAACCATGGCCTGGTACCATCGAAGTCTCTGTATCAACAGCTCGACCCCCGACGGGGCAATATTCATCCACTTCCAGACGTCCCAAGAGTCCTTAACAATGGGATGGTCGCCAGATCGGTCACACAAAGCCCCCGCGGCAATGCATCGGATTTTGCCCAAGAGCGCGATGTCCAACTGGGCCTCTTGAGAGCTCGTGAGGAGATACGGTGTAAGTCCAGACAGTAGCGCACCTTGCACCGCGGATGTGAATACAAGCCTCTTCACCTTAAACGGGGCCCCCGAGGTCCACAAATACTTGAAAGACATCCACCCCCTGTTGGCCGCTACTTTACTCAGTGCAAGCTGATGAGAGAAAGCGCCAGAGGGCAAAAACTGCGGTCCCAAGTACCTGGTGTGCGGGGCCACGCGGGCCCCCCCGACCTCCGCCGCATAAAACAGGCGAGTGGCCTTGTAGCCGCAAAGGCGGGGGGCCAAAACTTGTTTCGACGTGTTTTGCTTGTATCCGTACGCAGCCAGGGCATTGCCGAGCTTAGTCTGGGCGTCGCGCGCTGTGGCGACGGCCCCGGAAAGTGCCCCCTCCTGGAGTAGCAAAAAATATGCCAGGTCGTCCACGTATTTGAAGAGGCCCGCATAGACCTCGCGCCCGAAAACGGGGCACGACGCGCACAGAGCTGGGTCCTGAAACTGGGCGAGCCACTCCTGGAGGGGGCGGGCAAAATCAACTCGAAATTCGTCGGGCGCACTGGGATCCCCCATCAAGGCCCCGCTTTGGAGGTGGAGGGTGGTGGGTCGATCTACGCCCTCGAGGTGAAGAAGGTGCGTGGTGCGCCTGTCGCTGAGCAGGTCAACATCCCCTGCTGGCAAATACTCTAAAAGTCCTTGATTCATGCGCTTGTGCTCGCAACAACCGAAAGCGTTCTTCATGTCATCGAAAACAGCAATGTGCCACACGCGTGCGCTACGCAAGCGATCCGCCAGGATGTGCGTGCCCAAGATTGCATTCTCTCGCCTGCGCCGAGGGATGCATCCATGATCGTACTCGGCAGGCGCAGCGTGTGGGACCGCCCGATAGATGCCCCTGGCGATCGCTCTAAAGAAGGGGCAGAGGCCGTGCAGAAATCGGGTGCCGCCGTCAGGTTTGGGAGTCTGCCATCCGAGAGAAAACCCCGCACACGTAGGAAACCTCCCCACCGCCCGCCAACACGTGGCCAGACTTCCCAAACCTATCTTGATGGCCTCTACCTCAGGGGGCTCGGGCTTCCCGCCGACTCCGAAAGGAGAGATACGTGGCTTACTATAATACTTGGGCTTGAGAAGCATGGGCCAAATCTCGCCTGGGAGAGACCAGGCAGGGACAGAACGTCTACGCGAAGCCTTGCGGAGCACTCACGAAGCTCTTCGAAGGTCTCTGGCTCCCAACTCCCCCGCCGAATCCCGCTCGCCCATCCCTTGAGGAGCCAAAGAGGCCCGCCGCTGCAAAAAAATGTCCAGCTGGACTGGGGCCGCAGAGAGACCGCCCTCCGAACCAGGAAGGCCCAGGGTGCCCGCGAGCTCATCCGCCGATGCAACGTGCCTGCGCACCGCCGCGTAGCTACGCCGTTTGGGTCCCAGTTCAGTGCCCGCCAATCTACGAGAGAAGTATTGTACGCTGGCAAGGTCACGTTTGCGCCAGGCCTCATGGATGCCTTCAGTCCAGGTCCTGCGCAGCGAGCGTGTCCACCGTCGGACCTCCCACCTGATGCGATTCGTGAAGTCGCGGATCTGAAAATCATAGCGGCAATGAGGGAGGCCCATGGCGCGCAGCACAGCGCGCCCACGGAGGAGGCGACGAACCTGGAGACGATGTTGCGCCAGCTCGGCACCTGGAGTCCGCCTGGCCCTGCCGAAGTGCTTCTTGGCGACCGGTGCCAGCGCGTCCATGAGAGCGGCGTAGCCCGCGTCGATCATGTTGTTCTCAAAAAAACCAAGGTACGAGGGCGCCGCGCGCTGCAGGGCCAGGTTGGCCTCTTCCAGGAACCCCTCACGCAGGCCAGGCGTCTGCAGCGCGGTCTCGATGGCATCGAAGTTCCAGGGCGCCGAGATCTGCGAAGACCGCAAGCTCGGGACGCCCAGGTCCGCCTCCAGGAGCACAGGGGAGTGATCTCGTAGTGTCCCTTTGGATGGGTAGAGCTGGAGCTGCCTGGCCGCCTTAGTCATGGTGAGCAACTTCGAAACTCGCGGCAGGGCTCCAGCAGGCAGGGCGAAGTGGTCGATCCAAGTAGACGACTTCTCGCCATTGTAAGTAAGAGCTATATTGTAGAAGGTGGTTGCGCAAGCAAAATGGTGTCGGTGCAGCACTTCTCGGAGTCCTCGAGCCGCGTAGCCCATGCGCGCCTGCACGTAGGGCCCGATGCAGCTGAAGGAGCCACTGGTCTCGTCCTCCGCAAACGAGTCGTTCAGGTCCGTGAAGATGATTGGGGTAGAACGCTCGGGGGTGGTGTCCAGCAATCCGTTGAGCCATTCGAGGAGCACGTCGACCGTGCGCCGCCAGGTGGCCGTCCCCGAGCGCGGGCCAGGCGGCGGGAAGTAGAGCGCGATGGCTGCAACATCAAGCGATCCAGTGACCACTCGCACCATCCCAGCGCGGCCCAGCGCGGCAGCGGGCCCAGGTAGCACACGATGCACTCGCAGCCCCAGGTCTCGGCGGCGTACTCCGATGGTGACGCCCGCAGCCCTGTTGGTGAAGGGCCCCCTGCCGTAGCCGAAGTGGTAGTAGTCGTGGTCTCCAATCTGCGCCTGCCGACGCACCGCCTCCGTCGGCACCGCCCGCAGGCGGGTGCCCAGCAAGAAGTGGAAAGGGAAGCCGCGCGCCAGGAGCGCGATCTCGTCCAACCTCCGCGGCTGGATCAGGCTGCACACATTGAACCCGAAAAACTTGCAGCGCATGAATATACCCTGGGGAGTTCGATAGGGCGGTGCAGGGCCCCTCCTGAACTAGGGTGTGTCGTTGGGATGTTCAAAGCGGGGACCCCCTGCATGGGCCCACTGAATCGCGGCTCGACACAGAATGGGGCTGGAGGAGGAGGAGGAGGAGGAGGAGGAAGAGGAGGAAGGGGCCGACTGCGGTCCGCATGCAGGAAGCCATGATGTCAACGTCGCCGCCCACGGCTCCCGTGAACGGACGCCCCGCAGACAGCAAGCAAGGGCGGCGTGCCGCGAGGGCGCGGCGCGCGCCTCCGGCTCGCAGTCCACCCAGCGCGGGCCCGTCGCCTTCTCGATGGCGAGCTTCCCGAAGCTGGAGCGAGGGATCCTTGAATGGGGCCCAGGGGCACAGACATAAAAAGACACAAATCCCAAGATTCCCCATATGGTTCCACATCTTCTGGGCTCTTGCCTTCCCCCCCGCTTCCCATACTTTCCCACACGTTTTCCGGGGAATCGCCGGCTCTTACTCGTGTCCGTGTGTTTTTTCCTCTCCCGAATCCTGGCGTCCAGAGGCAGCTCGTCGAAGAGGACCTTGATGGCGGCGATCTGGCCGTCCTGGTACTGCCTCGGGCCCGGCCCCCCTGCCGCTGCGGCAGCTCATGCGAGGGGGCGTCACGAGCCACCTGGCTGGCTCCTGCGCGAAACCGACGCTGGCCGACGCCCAACCGACGCTGGTCGACGCTAAATCGGCACCAATCGACGCCAGCCGACGCCAACCGACGCTAGCCGACGCTGGTCGACGCTAACCGGCGCTGCCCGACGATGCTCGACGCCAGTTGGTGCCAATTCGGCACTCAATGCAGACGCTACCGCACGCCAGTGCACTCTGGGGACGGACTTGCGAGGACACTCAAAGCTCCCATGCTCTGCTACCGAATGCGCCCGCTCGGCTCCCCTGCTTGCGCCCCTTGGTGCGAGCGGCGAGCGTCTACACCCATGGTCCACGCACTCGCGGTCTGGACTCCGGTGCGCGATCCCAGGGGCACGCGGCCGCGCGGCTGCGTGCCGCGCGGGGCGTCCGCGCAAAAAAAAAAAAAACGCCCCCAATCCTCGGGGCCGCGGCCCAAAGGCTTGGCCCTCGAGACTGTGGGCAGGGATCTGTTCTCCTCGGGGATGGTCAGAACCCCGCTCTTGTAAAACGTGGTTTAGGGAAAGCGACCTCGGGCCCAAACCTGGCGGGCGCAAGCCTGGAAGATGACGGCCGCGGCGCCCTCTCGAGAACCGAAGACGGACAATTCACTACGTAATCGACGTGTCAGGGTGGGGCCTCTGTGCACCCCCGACCTCCGCCCACGAGCGGACGGCCAAAATCCTGTGCGGAGGACTTCGAGGACCTCTGAGATCCGGCGGCTCTAGAGGATGTCTCGGGCGCCGCGGCCTTCTGAGAGCGTTCTGGAACGCTCTGGAACGGACGGGCCCTCGACCCAGCATCGCCCGACCCACGGCTCCTGCTGGCCAACGAAGCCGGCCCCTTGTCAGCGCGCTGGAGGGCAATCGCTCCAACAGGTTGCGCCAGAGTGAGCCGCCGGACTGAGAGGGATTGCGCCCGCGCAATTGTGCGTCCGCGCGCAACTGTCATGCGCAATGGTCTCTCCGAGGCTGGTTCCCGGGAGGCCTTGTCTGCATTCTTCTGTCGCGACGGTAGACCAGCGGCTTCATGGGAGTTGGCCGCAAATGCATGGACCCCGCTGTAAATGGTGCTGCTCTTCGGCGCTTATTATCGGCTGTTTCACCCTGCTCGCGCGTCGTCCAGCGCAAAGCTTACGTTCGTTCGCTCATTAGCGGGATTCGTCGTGATGAGGCTGGAACAGGACGCATCTCGGCCGCGGATATGAAGCAGCGCCGATGCTGAATCTAACCTCCAAGGAGATGCCACCAAGCATGCGAGGCAATAGCGGTCGACACCGAATCGGGAAATCGAGTCGGAGCCGATCCGGATCGTCGGAACGTCGGATCGAGTCGGCCGAAACCGACATCGAATCGGGTCGACCGGATCGAAATGGTCCCTGACGAGGTGACATGCTGCTCGTCAGGGTCATGGCCTCGGCCGGGAATGCTGCCATGATCAGATTGGCGCAGAATGCGTTTCAGGACTTCCAGGGCGCATCTAGCAACCCTCGTTCCTGTATCCCCTGTGGATGACCCGGGAGCCTCGGACATCCTGGAACTAGAAAAAGAAACAACTTCATTAGCATAAACGTCTGGCGCTCCGCGCGGATGTCTTAGATCCGCGCTGGGACCCCCGTTCATGTTTATGTTTACGTATGTGTGCTCTTCTTCGAATCTAGCCCCCCTACTTCCTGCATCCCCTGTGGATGATCAGGGAACCTTGGACACCCTGGAACGCACCACATGATCATGACCTCGCTGCTCCTCCCACGTCGTGCTGATCGCGGAGCCTCCACCCCGGCAGCACGCCCGAGGAGGCCACTCCCCGCCGGCCTCGGCCCGACGCCACGCCGACTAAGGGCGAGGCGGGCGCCGCAGGCGAGGCCCTGCGCCCCAGACCCCCGACGCCAGGATTTTTCCACGACGCTGCCGTCCTAAGCATCCTCCTCCTCCTCCTCGTCCTCCTCGTCCTCCTCCTCCTCCTCCTCCTCCTCCTCCTCCTCCTGTTTCTCCTCCTCCTCCTCCTCCTCCTCCTCCTCCTTCTCCTCCCCCTCCCCCTCCTCCTCCTCCTCCTCCTCCTCGTCCTCCTCCTCCTCCTCCTCCTCCTCCTCTAGCTCCTCCAGTTCCTCCAGTTCCTCCTCCTCCTCCTCCAGTTCCTCCAGTTCCTCCAGTTCCTCCGGTTCCTCCAGTTCCTTCTCCTCCTTCTCCTCCTTGTCCGCCCCCTCCTCCAGTTCCTCCTCCTCAAGTTCCTCCTGCTCCTCCTCCCCCTCCCCTCCTCCTCCACCGCCGCCGCAGACGAGGGCCTCCCAGACCCCTGACGCCATGACTTTTGGGCGGCGCGCAAAAGTAGGTAGGGGGAGGGGGAAGGCTTCGTAGAAGGATGCTGCTTCTTAGAAGGCGCGGGCCTTACATCTACAGAGAAGGCCGACGCCTTCTGAGAAGCAGGGGTGCTTCTAAGAAATCTTCTCCCCTCCCCCACCCCCTCTCTGCGCGTGGTCGAGATTTTTCCATGGCCCGACCCCAGGAGAGGACACAAGACCCTTCCGAGGGCCACATCGCCATAGGAATGTAAGAAAGCACGTGTCGCGAGGCACAGGACACAAGGGTACCCTTGAGCTGGCAGGGTCGACCTACGAATCCGGGCCGACCGCACTTTTAACGACCGATGCGTAACTGTTTCCCCCTGCCGCAGGGCAGCTCTGCGGGGCTGGCGTGCCCAGCGGCCTCTGCGCGCTGACACAAATTCTCGGGGCGGGCGCCACCCGTCCTGCGAGATCCTGGCGTGGCAACTTTTGCCGCCACGGGCGCTCCTGCGTAATTCCGGGCCCTGAGGCCCTCACAGATCGATCCGGCTCTCAGAAGATGGCGCAGAAAGATGGGGTGCGGGACTCCGGTCGCGTGTTTTCTTGTGTTCTGCGAGGCTGCGTTGCACTTTTTGTCACACCGGGCGCTTCCGCTCCATTTCCGGCCCTGGGACCCCCACGGATCAATCTGGCTCGACAAATGACGCAGAAAGATGGGGTCCAGGGCTCCGGTCGCGTTTTTCTTGTTTGCTGTACTGTTGCATTCTTTTTTGCAACGTCAGATCTCGGTGCAGTCCTGCGGAAACGGGTCTGCGCGTGGAGACCTGGTCTGCGCGGCGAGGCCTGGTCTGCTTGGCCGCCCCGCCGCGCAATACGCGCCACCCGTAGCGTGTGCACATGGCGCTCTCCGCCCGCGGGTTGAAAACGCAAGCTCTGGCGCGGTGCGGTCGCCAACACGTGCACCAACACGTGCCGAACCATCACGCAACGTGTTCAACCTTAGGTCGGGCGTGTCCTCCTACAGGCAGATTTTGGACGAAACGATAAGAACGCCCCCAACAAAATTCAAAAATGTTCAAACATAGCCACAGAGCATCGTCCGCTGACTACTTTCTGACTATTTTTGAATATTCCTCCTGTTGACGGGCAGGCCTGTCTTAAGACCAACCCAGAAGCTTGGAATACGGAGGAGAGAGGGAAGGAGGTAGGTAACCAGGTAAGGAGGTAAGAATGTAAGGAGGTAAGGGAGGAGGGAGGAGGAAGGTAAGCAAGTAAGGAGGAGGCTGAAGAGGAAGAGGAGGAGGAGGAAGACGTTTGGAACACGCTTCGCATGGCGTTCCCAGCTCGGGCGCGTATCCGGGCAGCAAACAAAGAGCCCTTTGGTGAAGGCAGAGGCCCGACGGCCAGATGGCGCGAAGCCGTCCGTTGGAAAACATCGGACCACACGGGGAGACAGGAGTCGAGCGAGCAGCGGCCAGTCGCGACGACCTCGCGGGCCAATCTTTATTGGCTGCACATTCTGGGGACCTTCCTGGAGCCACTCGCTCCACTCGTGCGTCGAAGCTGCGTCGAACGCCCGTCGATTCGAGCCGATTTTGAGTCGAACCTGAGTCGAACCTGAGTCGAACTTGAGTCGAACGTGAATCGAACTTGAGTCGAACTGGGGTCGAACAGAACCGCTAGGTGGGCCCCAGGAAGGTCCCCAAAACGAGCATCTAATCCTTGTCGGCAGTGGACGAACCTCCCTTTAGTAGACCACCCTTTCGTGAAAACGGCCCAAGATCGAAACCGACGGAACTGGACCCGCAAAAATGACGGCCGCGACGCCCTCTCGCGAACCGAAAACGGCCAATTCGCCAATCGACGTGTCAGGGTAGGAGGTCGATCAACCTCCGACTCATGCGGGCGGCGAGCGAGGGGGGGAAGTGAGAGGGAGAAGGCCTCCTCAAAGGCTCGTAAGTCCTCCGACCTTCTGAAAAGTTGTCTCAGCCTTCCCAGAAGAAACAAACAAAGACTCCTCAGAAGGCGCGAGGGCTTCTGAGAGGTCCCGCCGCCTTCTGAGAAAACCTTCTCCTTCTCACTTCCCCCCCTCGCTCGCCGCCGATTATGGGCACTCTGCGCGTATGCGTGTTTGCACCACGCGCCCGGCCAGTCCCGCAGCTCGTGGGAGTTCCTCGCCCAACTCAGGGAGACGCCCTCGACAGATGATCATACAGTGGAGGCCTGTCCCCAAGAAACCTTCCACAAAAAACTCAACCCTGAGACCCCAGGACGTCGATTGATTTCTGGTGCCGGAACGCCGCGCTCTCCATAGCCAAACCGTCGGAACCCAAGAAATCCAGGGCACATTGGAGGCAAGCAGGGTATTTCTTGGCATGGGCCCCCACTGTATTGATGCTCTGTGGCTCTTTCCTGCGGGGGACCCACGCGGCCTGACCATCAGCAAAAAAGGAGTTGCTGTCTGGCGAATGCCGCCTCAAGATGGTTGTCCTCGTGTGCCGCAGGCGCTGCCTCTCTGCCGTCGGCCTCGGCCCAGGCTGAGGGTCCCCCCCTTGCACCGGAGCCACCCAGGCAGGATGGAAACCTCACTCGAGCACTTGATTACCTCTGGGGTATAGGCCGTCCTTGTTGAGGGATCGTTAAATAAGGGATCCAGAATCTCGTGGGCGACGGACCACGACACATCCCGTGACAGTCGTGGGCCATCAATCCCGCCCTGGCAGAATGAGGAAGACGACCAGAGTACGCCTCATCCTCTTCCCCTGCTGGGACGGACGAGGAGGAGGAGGAGGAGGAGGAGGGAGGAAGGGACCTACTCATCCTACCTTTCGCGCTGGTGTTGCAACCTTTGCCCTGCAGATGAAAACTCCTGTACGCGTGCCCCAACCTGCCCAGCCCAGAAACGATCCCCCGTCGAACAGTCGTGAGAGGTCAATATCTGCCCTCCTCCCTCCTGTCCCCCTTCCCCTGCACCTCCTCCGTCCCCCTCTCCTCCTGCTTCCCATTCCTTAACTTGTTATTGAATATTTTTCTCGCCGCTGTCTTCGTCGTCGTCCGTAAGGCCTTCGCCATAAAGGAGTGGCAGCAAAACGAGCCAGAGGCACGCTGCTCAGGCCGAAGCAGTGATCCGCCCGAGCAAGCCCCAGCGATGGTCAGCCTGGGGTCCTCCGCGGAGCTCTTTGGAGCCACACCTGCAATACAACTCTGGCACTCCTTTCCACATCGAATGCCTTATCCAACACCCCCTTGGCCTTCTTAGGAATCCGTTATCCGCGAGCACCTCCCCACAACGCGCGCGGGCAGCCTCAACGTGATCTTCCCGCGCCAGCCCTTTCTGCAGATCAGCCCGTCAGCGGACTTGATCTCCTGCATCGCGCTCGCCCCAGACTGCATGCTCCCGCTAATATGATGGAAACCGCCGAAACGCTCAATAACGTTTCACCACCCTCCTTAACTCCCTCCATCCATCCTTAATGTTTCGGGGACCGTCAGACGTCATATTCAGGGTCTCGGAAGCCCGTCTGAAAAGTATGTGAAGCTCCATCGACGAGAACTGAGTGTGCCTCGGAACGGCCAGGGCGTTTCTTAATAGTTTCAAACCCGTACAAATTGTGAATCAACGGCTGAGACCTGGAAACAATTAAAGACGGAACTCAATAACGTTTCCGCAAGATCATCTGGAAACTACTTTGGAACGATGCGGCGCAAGCTGGAAAGGGTAAGGAAACGCCCCCCCATGAAAACAATAAGATTATCCCGGCAAAGCAACCTAACAGCGATGTGTAGGAGCATATCTGCAAGCATTCCCCTTAAGATTCAGATGAGAATCCTGTTGTAGAGTTCTGCTGTTCTCGCAGTCGTAGTCGCATTCGCGATGGCAGTCGCAGTGGCAACGGCGGTCGCAGTCACAGCCTCAGCCTGCCTCAGCCTCAGCCTCAGCCCCAGCCTGCCTCATCCTCAGCCTGCCTCTGCCTCAGCCTCAGCCTGCTTCAGCCTCAACATCAGTCTGCCTTCAGCCTCGGCCTCAGCCTCAGCCTGCCTCAGCCTCAGCCTGCATCAGCCTCAGCCTCAGCCTCAGCCTGCCTCAGCATCAGCCTGCAGCCTCAGCCTCAGCCTGCCTCAGCCTCAGCCTCAGCCTGCTTCAGCCTCAGCCTCAGTCTGCCTTCAGCCTCGGCCTCAGCCTCAGCCTGCCTCAGCCTCAGCCTCAGCCTCAGCCTCAGCCTCAGCCTCCTCAGCCTCCTCAGCCTCAGCCTGCCCTCAGCCTCAGCCTCAGCCTCAGCCTCAGTCAGCCTCAGCCTCAGCCTGCCTCAGCCTCAGCCTGCATCAGCCTCAGCCAGCCTCAGCCTGCCTCAGCCTCAGCCTCAGCCTCAGCCTCAGCCTCAGCCTCAGCCTCAGCCTGCAGCCTCAGCCTCAGCCTCAGCCTCAGCCTCAGCCTCAGCCTCAGCCTCAGCCTCAGCCTCAGCCTCAGCCTCAGCCTCAGCCTCAGCCTCAGCCTCAGCCTGCAGCCTCAGCCTCAGCCCTCAGCCTCAGCCTCAGCCTGCCTCAGCCTCAGCCTCAGCCTGCCTCAGCATTCAAAATGTGGCCCGGGAATGGAGTTCTGGGAACTCGAAGAGCACGAAGTGGCCTACAGTTGGCTCCGGGCATTCAAAATGTGGCCCAGGAATGGAGTTCTGGGAATTCGAAGAGCACGAAGTGGCCTACAGTTGGCTCCGGACATTCAAAATCATGCCCAGGAATGGAGTTCTGGGACCTCGAGGACCTCGAAATGTGTAACTGTTTGCTTAAAACGACTTCCGCGGATTCTCCCCGGCACCCGTCCGGCATCTGCCCAGACCCCCCTGAGGAGTCAAGATGCTTTCTTGTGAGACCATTAGAGACCTATCAGTCTTCGCTGTTAGGTAAAATCGGTTTGCTGACCATTGGGCACAACACGAGGGTGCCGATGAGAATGACTACGGGGCGGCGCAGCGGGCATCAGCAGCAGCAGCAGCAGCAGCAGCAGCAGCAGCAGACTGTAGCAGCAGGCAGTCGCAGCAGGCAGTGGCAGCACCGCGCAGCACAGGATGAAGATGGCGGCTGCGGTGGGCAGGAGGTGCCACAGAGAAGCCTTTTGGAGCGAGCGTCGAGCTCTCTCTTATCGTGCGTTACCTGTCGGTCGCTGTCCGACCCACCAGAGTGACTGATCGTGTTCTTATTCATTGTTTTGCCGATCGGCGCGGGCCCTCGCACCCACCCCCCATGGAGTGGATCTTGGCTGTTGTTTGGCGCTCACGTGAGGGGTTGGAAACGCGTTGAAAACGTAGTGGAAACGTACTGGAAACGGTCTCAGACAGGCAACTTCGACCCCTTGGCCAAGGGTGGGGCGGAAACATTGAGGATGTCGCATCCGCCGCCGACGCCGCCGTTGTGACACCGACGATGTCTCCGGCTCTGATGCGCACTCCGGGGGGTCGGACAGCGATTGACAGGCAACGCGCGATAAGAGGTCGACACTCTCTCCAAGAAGGCCTCTCTGGTGCACCTGATGCCCGCTGCAGCGGCCAACTCCCTGCTTGATCGTGTCTGCCGTTCCCTGCTGCGCGCTGCTACTTGCTGCTTGTTACTGCTGCTGCTGCCTGCTGGTGCCTAATTGCCGCTTGGTGATTGCCAATGCACGCCAAGACAAAACAATCACGAATGCAAAAAGCACGTCGCGGGAGACGTGGAAATGACGAAAAAACGTGTCTGGAAACTATACCAAAAAAACGTTCCCCCAGATCGGCGCCGGAAGCGATCCAAAAACGCATCGCCATGGAGACCTGAAAACGATTTGAAAACGGCAGCCGGAAACTATTGAAAAGCGAGTTGTTGAATGAAAGCTGGAAGCTATAACGCCCTGTGCGTTGCCAAGGCGCACTAAGGCCGAAAATACCTCAACAGGCTGGCAACAGGTGTGCGGCCCAAGTTTCTTAGCTTCTTAGCAAGGCTGAGCAGTGCAGCGCGGTCGCATGTAATCTCCATCAGCGACTTTGCGGGATAGTTCGGTAATTGCGAGACCCCCAACTTTCCACCGATTCATCCTTTTGTCCCTCCTTCTGCATCCCCTCCCTCCCGCCTCCTGCCTCTTTCCTCCCTGAACCCTCTGCTCTCATCCCGTCTCCCTCCATTACACTCGTTCTTTGCTCCATACCTCCGCCCCGCCAATCTGTCCACCCATCCCTGTTTGACAAATCCAACCCTCAATCCATCCAACCCTCCTCCATTCCACATCTCTCCCCCGGTCTCCTCATCGTCCTCCTCCTCCTCCTGCTTCTCATCATTCTCCCGCGTCTCCTCGTCGTTCTCGTCCTCCTCCATCCACTTACTCCTTTTCTCCTCCCTGGCTGCTTACACTTGTTGTTCCAGTCACTGCTTGCAAGCGCCAGCCGCAAGCCCAAACTTGTAAAGGACGGTCCGCAGAGGGCACCAGGATGCGTCAGGAATGCGAAGCTCCAGGATGGCCGACCACAGCTCCGAGGTGCCCAAGCTGGCCCCCAGAGAGCTCAGAAAGTCCCAGATTGCAGAACGGAGGGCGCATGATAACATGAAGCCGTTGAGCAGCGATTGCTGCTTAGCGCTTTAGTCTTAGCCACGCGTCGGCTACATATGGGCGACGGAGAGAAAAAGGGATCCCACGCGAGCGCGCAACTGACGCGCGCAACTGACGCGCCAATGTCGGTGGAGATGAACCCGCTTTCCCTCCGTCGCCCGCATGGCTCCAAGGGGGGCCTCAGTCCTCCGGGAAGGCTCAACACGCCTCCGAGAACGGCCACAACCTGCCTGCAGGCCGAAGGGAATGATGGGCCCGCGGATGTGGCATGCGCCCGTTGGGCCATCCTTGCGCGCAGCCTGCACCCTGTCCTGTCATGCTGCTGGAAAGAGGCGAACGAACAGCGTGTACCCAGTGCTGAGGAGCGGCACGTGGATGTGAAGGAAGGAATCATGTTGTCGGCCAGTGACTGGCTCCACGCGCTGCTCACAGCATACATCGCTAGCAGCATGGCGAAGACGGACGTGGTCAAACAGGCATATTCTAGCTTGTTCAACGATTCCTCCTCGTACGGCCAATTGAGGAGTTGCACGATCAACACAGTTACCATCACCCCCATGGCCAGAAAACTTTGCGTCAGCACTGCGTAAGTCAGCGGCGCAATAAATGCAAGCCCCCCAATGCAGCAGCGACGACATGCGAAAACCCCAGCCTCCCAGAATTTCTGCTTTGTGTTTGTAACCGCTGGTGAGAAAGTGGAGAGTCCCTGGTGGAAGCGCCTCTTCTTTCACGATCACCGCAAAGCATGCCCCTGGGCCTAAAAAGGCACAGCCCAATCCGCCACCGCACTTTATGCACGCTGGGGCGGGAGGAATCCACCGACGCGGCGACTGCGCCTAGGACGAAGAAACGTTCTTCGGTGAATACCATAGCTAGCACCGCATAACTTAACGACATAGCTTGCACCACATGGCTTGCACCGCATAGCTTGCACAACATAGCTTGCACCATGTAGATAACACCGCCTATACAATGCAATCATCACTTACTGTGTGGGTCCACGCTTGCAAACAATTTTCGAGGCCGCGAAGGCAATCGGGCGCAGCCGGGCTCCTCAACAGCTCCGCAGGGCGGTCTGCATTGGGCCCTCGCTTCGCGAGCGGACTCGTGAATCGGAGAAGGCTCTCCGACGTACATGGACGACAAAACCCAGCGGATCCTACCCGAGAAGGCACAGCGCATAGCGAGCTTCAGCCGCGGCGTACGCGGCCGCTAACGTGGCAGTCCGCGTGGAAGAGAGGAGGCTTGCGCGAGGCCATTATTAGGAGGGCGCGCCGCTGGATGTCCCCATTGGGGGAGGAGGGTTGGGACCCCCCCCCCTTTCCCCGATCCGTCGTCGGGGACCCCCCCCCCTCCCCCCCCTTTCCCGATCCGTCGTCGGGGACCCCCCCCCCTCCCCACTTTTCCCGGTCCGTCGTCGGGGAACGCCCCCGCCCCCTCTCCCCCTTTGGCCGCCACATTCGACTCCCCCCCCTCCCCCCCTTTCGCCACGGCGCCCCCGGTCTCCAGAACCCGACCCCTGCCACCCCTAGCACTAATCCTCACCCTTACCCCAAACCCATAAGCCGAACCCCAAACCCAAACCCAAGCCCCAAACAGTACTCACTACTCATTACGCACTACTCACTACCCCAAAATTCACTACTTGCTACTCACTACTCACTTCTCACTAATCACGACTCACGACTCACGACTCACTACCCACTACCCACGACTCACTACCCACTACCCAGTACTCACTACTCCCTACTGCCTACTCACTACTCACTACACACTATTACCCACTACCCACTGATCA